TTACACGACATTTCTTGCCCGATTTATAGATGATTTTGATGAACAGGCTGACTAATGCATTTAAAACTCAAAGGGCACTAGGGGAAAAATCTTTAAAACCATAATAGCCTCAGACCTCAAAGATGCCTTCCCCCCCCCTCCCTTCTTTTTTTACTTTAGATCACAGGCAGATTTTCAAATGAAGAACCTGAGATCAACTCGAACCATGGACGTGGAAGTGCTTTGCTTTGTTGCTGATGATAGATTTTCTGCTCGTGGATTGTTCTTGTAAGATAATGTGAGATCATCTAAGAAAAAACTGCAGACAGGTGAAGTAAGTATTATATATAAACAACCTGTTGACCACATCTAAAAATGACATCAGGGTTTTCTGTGGTGGAAATGTGTTGAGACAGTCTAGCAGTGACGTCAAACAGAAAATAAGTACGAGTGCAGGTTAGCGGTGTGGTCTCTGTGTGTTTCCTGATCTTTAACAATACAGTTAAATTGAGAAGGCATAACAACTCAAGCAACCTCTTCTGCTCACCGAAGTCTGCGAAAACACATGTGAGTCTTGCTGGTTTTTTTATGAAACATACTCTGAAATCATATATATTTTTATACATACCTATGCAGGAGTGGTTATATACTGGAATTACAATGTTAAGCAAGTGACCCACATAGTTAAATTGTTTATGACCCATATACTTAGGTGCATCACTGTACACTGGTGATGCGCAGCGGTTGCTTTAACCTACTATTTTAGACTATGGCAGTTTTATGGGTTATGCTGACAGGTTTGTCTCTTACAGTTGGTAGAGTTTGGCTGATTTGATGCATCTGGTTTGGGTTTGTGTGTCCTCGTCTTAATCTTTTTTTGTCTTTGTTAGTTTTTGACGCACACGTGCTTAAAGCTTTTCACCCAGGTTTGCTTTGTCTTGTTCTTCTGTGATGTTCTGTTTTGCTCTACATATGGCTCTGTTCAGTAAGCTCTGTTTCAAGAACTCTGCTCTGTTCCAGAGGATCTTTTTGAGTGGTTTGATTTTAATTGGATTTAAAAAGCTGAATCCACAAATGATGTGCTGGATAAAGTTCATCATATTGGCCTTAAAATTGTGACCCGACACTCATCCTTAAATCTTTTGTACTTCTGTTGAATTCATGCTTAACTTTACTCCTGTAATGGGAAAGACAGACAGCTGCCTCAGCACTATCAGAATCAGAATCAGAATCAGAATACTTTATTAATCCCTGGGGGAAATTATTTTTTGTTACAGTGCTCCATTTTAAACCAACATTAAGACAAGACAGACAATACACTAACTAAGAATAGTACAATATATACATATATACACATACATACTTCACTCATAAATAAATAGTTGGAAAAGAAACATGTGTAGTTGTAGCAGCAAACAGTGTGTTAAGTGGATGCGTTGTACAGGGAGATGGCCACAGGCAGGAATGATTTCCTGTGTCGTTCAGTGGTGCTTTTCGGTAATCTCAGTCTCTCACTGAACGAGCTCCTGTGACTGACCAGCATGTCATGGAGTGGGTGGGAGGTGTTATCCAACATTGTCTTTATCTTGGACAGCATCCGCCTCTCCGACACCACCTTGAGGGAGTCCAGCTCCATCCCCACAACATTACTGGCCTTACGGATTAGTTTATTAAGTCTGTTGGCATCTGCGACCCTCAGCCTGCTCCCCCAGCATGCAACAGCATAGAGGATCGCACTGGCCACAACAGACTCATAGAAAATCCTCAGCATTTTCTGGCAGATGTTGAAGGACCTCAGTCGCCTCAAAAAATAGAGACGACTCTGGCCCTTCCTGTAAAGTGCTGTGGTGTTTTTAGCCCAGTCCAGTTTATTGTCAATGTGTACTCCAAGGTATTTATAGTCCTCCACAATGTCAACACTGACCCCCTGGATTGAAACAGGGGTCAAGTGTTTCCTGGTCTTCCTGAAGTCCACGATCAGTTCCTTGGTCTTTGCCACGTTGAGCTGCAGATGATTCTGCTCACACCACGTGACAAAGGAGTCGACCACAGCCCGGTACTCTGTCTCATCATCCCTGCTGATGCATCCAACCACCGCAGAGTCATCAGAAAACTTCTGAAGATGGCAGGTCTCTGTGCAGTGGCTGAAGTCTGTGGTGTAGAGGGTGAAGAGGAAGGGGGAGAGGACAGTCCCCTGTGGTGCCCCTGTGTTGCTGATCACCTTGTCAGACACACACTGTGGGAGACGTACATATTGTGGTCTTCCTGTCAGGTAATCAACAATCCAGGACACCAGAGAAGCATCCACCTGCATCGCTGCTAACTTATCACCCAGGAGGGTCGGCCTGATGGTGTTGAAAGCACTGGAAAAGTCAAAAAACATGACCCTCACAGTGCTCGCCGGCTGGTCCAGATGGGTGTAGACACGATTGAGCAGGTAGATGATGGCGTCCTCAGTTCCGAGACGAGGCTGATAAGCGAACTGAAGGGGATCCAGATGTGGTCTTACATATGGGTCGCAGCTGGTCCAGGATGAGCCTTTCCAGGGTCTTCATGATGTGGGAGGTCAGTGCCACGGGCCTGTAATCCTGGGGGCCACTGGGACGTGGCGTCTTTGGTACAGGGACGAGGCATGATGTCTTCCACATCACTGGGACCCTCTGCAGACTCAGACTCAGCATAAACAGTTTATGAAAGACTCCACACAGCTGGGGGGCACAGGTCTTGAGGACGAGGGGACTCACTCCGTCTGGTCCAGCAGACTTGCCTGAGTGAAGTCTCCTCATTTGCATCTCAACCTGGTATTGAGTGAAGGTGATGGGTGGGGGAGGGGTGTCAGGAATCTCACAGGAGGCAACATGTGAAGAGAGAGGCTGGCACAGTGGTGTGGCTCTGGATTCCAGGCTGACTACAGGTGAGGTTGTGGGGGTGGGAGCAGACACTGTGGTGTCGAATCTATTGAAAAACAGATTCAACTCATTGGCTCTATTCTCACCTCCCTCAGCTCCCCTGCTGTTGGTTGGCCTGAATCCAGTGATGGTCTTCATGCCCCTCCACACCTCTCTCATGCTGTTCTGCTGGAGTTTCCACTCCAGCTTCCTCCTGTAATTGTCCTTAGCCTCTCTGATCTTGACCTTTAGTAACATTACATCACTACAGCTGGTTTCTGCCAGGCCCAAGGCATCCTGCTGCCAAGTGTGCTGACAATCTTACAGTCATATGTGGAGTTCATTATGAAAAATCTGTGATTAGCACATAATTATATTCACATTGAACAATGATATATTCAGTAATTTTTCTGCTGCACACCAATGTTTCTTCCACAAAATGCATATAGAGTGGTCTGAGCCCAGACTTCTCAACCTCAAAGCTCTGATTACCTGTTCTGATCAAATTGTGCAAACAACAATGGAGGTGGAGTATTAAGAAATACGTGAACACAGTAAATCTAAAATTATGATCTGAAAACTTATTATTTGGCGCCATCGACAAGTTTCATCTTCTTGGCAAGAAAAGTACAGGATTGGAGATAACGATGACATATTCCATACCCATTATATTTTTGACCATTAACATAAATATCTGGTTGCAACATTTGTTTACATTTTTGAATAAATATACTCAGTGGAAGGCATGTAGATCTGCACCAATGCAAAACAAACACAGACTGTGAATTAATCTCATGTTACAGGTTTGATAAGAAGAAAAACAATTACTGTCCCCAGAAAGTTGGGTACATGTCAGGAATTGACTGTACAGGTGTGTTACACAGAATGCACCGTAAGACAAATGTTTTGAGTGGAATTGAATTGTCAGAAAATACAAATATCTGCCTTAAAGAGGGATGTTGCCACGGACAGGTGCAGACCATGGAGTAGCAGTGAGGAGGACCCAAAACACTATACATGGAACAATATACAGAAATACATCACTCTTACGATGAATACTGGCTTTATAGTGAGTGGAAAAAACACAACTATATAGAAATCCCAGCACTGTGGCCCCAGTGGCGATTCTCATTGATTCCCACACAGTGGACATGTCCATGAAAGGTGAAAAAGTAACATCTCCAAAAACACCCTCCGCTCCCCAATTCCTGGTAACACACAAACATACTCAGCTTAGCAGGATCAGCTATAATCACGACAGTGTTCTTGGTCCACCGTTATACTAACGAGTTTTGCGTTAAGGATCTAGTGCCGACTAGAGCTCAGCCACCCTCTTAAATAGGGCGCTCTTGACAAGGCCATCAGCTACAGCTGGTGATGGCTGATGAGCGGCAGGTGTGGAAGCCTCCAGTGTAGGAACACATCTGAGAGCACAAACGTACATAAACACACACAGGGAGACGGAGGAAGAAGAGAGAGGATACAACCAAAACACTACACATGGAACAATGAACAGAAATACATGAGCCCTGGATCCCTAGACCCAGGCCATGACAGACGTAGTGGATCTCAATGCAAAATATTTATAATTTGTTTAAATTTGATTTGACATAACAAACTAAGAGTCTACCAAGGTCGATCCTTCTGAGTATTTATGTCTCCCAAACCATCAATGTGTCTTTTAAACCCCATCCTACAAGACTGTTCAAGAAAGTACTACGATTAATTAATGTTTCAATCTGATCAGCCTATCTCTGTTAATTATTTAATCTCTACAGGCCTCAGTAGTTAAACATCAACATCTTACCAGCAGTCTTAGCTAATTATAGGCCAATCTCCAACCTTCCTTTCATATCAAACATCCTTGAAAGAGTAGTTGTCAAACAGCTAACAGATCATCTGCAGAGGAATGGTTTATTTGAAGAGTTTCAGTCAGGTTTCAGAGCTCATCACAGCACAGAAACAGCTTTAGTGAAGGTTACAAATGATCTTCTTATGGCCTCTGACAGTGGACTCATCTCTGTGCTTGTCCTGCTAGACCTTAGTGCAGCATTCGATACTGTCGACCATAATATCCTATTAGAGCGATTAGAACATGCTGTAGGTATTACAGGTACTGTGCTGCAGTGGTTTGTATCATATCTATCTAATAGACTCCAATTTGTGCATGTAAATGGAGAGTCCTCTTCACACACTGAGGTTAATTATGGAGTTCCACAGGGTTCAGTGCTAGGACCAATTCTGTTTACATTATACATGCTTCCCTTAGGCAGCATCATTAGAAGACATAGCATACATTTTCACTGCTATGCAGATGACACCCAGCTCTATCTGTCCATGAAGCCAGATAACACACACCAATTAGTTAAACTGCAGGAATGTCTTAAAGACATAAAGACCTGGATGGCCGCTAACTTTCTGCTTCTTAATTCAGATCAAACTGAGGTTATTGTACTCGGCCCTGAAAATCTTAGAAATATGGTATCTAACCAGATTCTTACCCTGGATGGCATTACCTTGGCCTCCAGTAACGCTGTGAGGAACCTTGGAGTCATTTTTGACCAAGATATGTCCTTCAATGCTAATATTACAGAAATATGTACAGCTGCTTTCTTCAAGTTTTGCAGTATGTCCAAAATTAGAAATATCCTGTCTCAGAGTGATGCGAAAAAACTAGTAAATGCATTACTTCTAGGCTGGACTACTGTAATTGGTTATTATCAGGTTGTCTGAAAAACGCAGTTTTGATAAAGTGGTATAGTTTGCATTGGCTCAGGTAAACCTGACCCCTCTTTTAGTTACACTACAATGAGTGTAGGCTGCTGAGGGATTCCCTTGGTGCACCTAGTGTTTCTTCTTTAGTCATCTTTTTCAGTTAATATGTGTTCACACACCTTTCTGCATTTAATCATTAGTTATTGGTAATCTCTCACTCTTTTTAACTACATGTCTTTGTCCTGTCTTCATCTGCACACCTGCAACCGGTCACAGCAGATAGTCGCCCCTCAGAGATCCTGGTTCTATTAGACGTTTATTCCTGTCACTGTCTCCAAAGCGCTTCCTAACAGGGGTCACATGGTTGTTGGAGTTTTCTCTGTTTTCTTTGTATTATTTACCTTACAATATGAACTCCCTTGAGGCAGTTGTTGTTGTGATTTGGTACTATAAAAATACATTGGATTGAACTGAATCTTTTTCAAGATGAAACTTGCATTTATATGCAATGTATTTATTATCTATTTTTCAGCTCCACAAACATGGATGGCCCCAACAATTTGACTTCCATTATGAACAAGACCTGTGATCCAGTTGTCCCATCAGTTAACCCTTTCTTTATGCTGGTCTACAGTCTAGTGTTTGTGGTAAATTTTCAGTTTCCATTTTTTTTAGAAGTTGGTATAAGGTTCTCTGTGCATCTACCAAAGTCCTGTCATTTCCATTTTCTCTGTGTCATTTCAGGTGGGTTTACTCCTTAATGGTTTCATCATGAAGTTTTACTGTTGTCGAGTTCGGCAGCAGGCATCAAGCAGCTTGATGGTGTACATGAGGAACCTGACAGCTGCTGACTTCCTGCTCTGCCTCTCTCTGCCACTCCGCATCGCCCACTATGCTAGCAGCTCTCTCATCATTCAGCAGCTCTACTGCACAGTTGGAGCTTATGCCCTGTTCCTCAACATGTATGCCAGCATCCTATTCATGGGGTACATTGCTGCCAACAGGTAAGGAACCTTTACTAATTTCAGACTGTATTTCTTGTCATCATTGTTAATTTCAAAGCACAGACATCTCTCTAGAAGTCAATAATGTCTTCTGAAGATTTGGCACCACTGTGACTGATTAGTGAATTTTTCTACACCTTTCTTTCTATTCTCTCTCCAGGTATCTGAAGATAGTCCATCCTTCAAAAACTCACATTCTACAGAGAGTACGAACTGCCCACATCATCTCTGTGGTCACTTGGGTTTGTCTCATTATTCCAGCAGTCACCAGCAACAGCCTGTTTTTCATCACCCAGAAACACCTGAACGTCACCCCGAGACGCTGTCGTCCCCTGTTTAGTTCATTGGTCAGGCTGATCCAAAAAATCGTCCATATCTTCTCTGTTATCATCTTCCTCTCAGTCTTCATATCCCTGGTCTTCTTCTATAACGGCATCTCCCGCAGGGTGTTGCAGGCACAGCAGACACAGCTGGCCTCCTCTGGCTCTGAGAAGCTGGTGAAGTCTCGCAGGAACATGTTGGTGCTGGTCAGCATCTTCTGTGTTTGTTTTGTCCCCTATCACCTGTTTCGACTCCCCTATATTTTTCTGTCGGGAAACTGCTCTGCTGTTAAGGTGTTGTACTACCTGAAGGAAGCGGCCACCATAGTGTCAGTTTTCAACGTCTGCCTGGACCCTGTTGTTTACTTTTTCCTCTGTAAGACTTTTCAGGCCCAGGTGAATCGGAGTATGGCCTCCATAAGAGTCAACGTTCAATAAGCAAATGAGGAGAGTGTGACGTAGGCCAGTCCACTGGCTGTCACAAGAGTGACAGCATAAAGAAGGAGCTGGGAATTATTCACTGAAGAGAGAGGCAAACAAGTGTGCTGTAAAGAAATGCTCAACATCTTATAAAAAATAGATTTTTTTTCGAGAGTGAGATGAGACCAGTAAAACCAGTATCATGTATGCCAAGCCCTCACATACTAGAGAACTTTCTGTGACGCTGAGAAATCAATGCAGAACAAATCAGCCCAAACACACTCCCACACAGAGAGCATCAGTTTATGTTGCCAACTTTCAGCTATGAGTCTGTGTCAGTTTTAGCAAACAGAAACGGAACCAGTCTGTGGTTAAATTTCTACAAACAATATCCAATGTGTGAAATCTGAATTTCAGTGTTTATGAACAAAAATATTTTAACATTTATATATAAAAACCAAAGTGAAAATTACTGCTGAAAATTTCGTCCGCAGTAATTTTTATGATTCATGACGAGAAGCAAAACATAGGCAATGCCTCAAGAAGAAGAAAATATAGGGTTTCCAGCCTGTTTTGCTACTTTAATAATTTTTCATATCTTATTTCAAAGTTTTGTTCTTCCGGGTAGAAAATAGTTTAAATCAAGACAAAACAACTAGGAGTCATAGCTCTACATTACTAGAGGGGGTCCACACAGGAAACTTTGGAGAGCAAGCAAAAGACTTCACCTGTGCCTTCAACACGTTATAATACACATTTATGCAGGTCATGTTTAAATAGCAGTAGTATAAAATGCCCTTTCATACTGAGGGACACTCAGTTCCTGGTTAACAACTGAACCTTCTCCAAGATCTTCCCATATGGCGTGCAGTAAATGCAGTCTGAGTGCTCATGGCTTGCCCATCGTCAATCATGTCGGCCAGCCAACAGCTGTAACCGCTTTCTTTCTTCCTCGATAAGGCAGGTTCAAGCCAGCTCTGACCAGGCAGAACTCTGTTGTCATGGTTCCTGTTTAATGTTATTGCTTGTCTAAATGAGTTGACTTATCAATTCATCTCTAAGAAGTTTTGAAGGATCCAATAAATGATCTAATGGTAGTGACCTATACCTTTAACAGATTGCAAAGCATTCTGGGTGAGCATGTTGAACAACAGAGACCAACACTGAGCTCTTTCTATAGTTATAAACCACAAAGTTTAAAAGTAACCGAGCCGATTTACTGCACACATGGCTTAGCTTTTAACCTTTCTTCGTCCCACCTCACGCTAACACGTAGCTCAAACTATCTTTACTTCTGATTTGTCTTCTTTCAAATGTTTCGATGCTATAGTTCTTAAATCAATAAGTCGTTACCCTTCAGTTGTTCTGTGTTTTAAGAACAGTAAAGTGAGTCAGTTTCTTTGACGTGGACTGTGTTTTTTCAGCCTGCAGTTTGTCTGTGTAACAGATACTAACTCTAGCTCTGTGGTTGTTCAGTTTCCTGTTTCGAATCAAAACTTAGCTGCTCACATTTTACTGCAGGGTAAACTGTGTGGGTGTAGGTAAAATGTCCTATAAATGTCCTACACACACACCTACACACATTTCTACATTTTAAAGTAAACTAAATATATTCTATAGCTTAAATACAGTTGGTACATTGCAATAAACCAACATGTATGAAAATCACATGTCAGCTTTAATTCTGTATAGACCACAGAGTCCACAGATATACATGCACTGGAAGGCAATATGGCTGCTGCAACAGAAGCAGTTACCAGTGCCAGTCCCTCTTCCCTCTTTAATGGTTTTATTTCCACCCTCAACATAGCCTGCTTCCTTTCAGCCAGACTCATAGTTCGAAGTGAAAGATGAACTGATAAAATCTTTATTAAGGTATTCAGTAATCATAACTGGATGTTCAATATATTTAAAGAGTCATTTAGAAAACTTTACCTGCTCTTTATCAGTTGAATTGACAGGACAACATTGGAGCTTTGCATGAAGTTCAGATTTACAGCAAACATGAATGCACCAAAAATGAATGAACACTTGTGTGATCTTTGATGTTTTGTGTGTTTGTATGTTGCACTTCTTCCTGCACCGAGGGAATCACTTGATAAAACCTGTTACTGTGGATCATATTTAAGCCTCTTTGTGGCATTGCTCCACCAAATGATCATGCTACTTCACCAAATGTATATATCTGTATTGAGCAACATGTGAGCAACATGTGAGCTGAAATGAAATAATGTTCAGGGTTTGTGCTCATATTTTAAGATTTACGATACATGTTAACAACTCATAAATTGTTAACAATCAGGAAGTGGTTTCAAAGTCTGAGACTGGGGTCAGACTCATTTTACATGGCGGGCCACATATAACCACATAAATATCTATGGTAGAAAGTGAAAAACAGAATTTCTTGTGGAATTTTTTCAACACCAAACACAACTGTAGACTTGGTCTCAAAGCATACTGAGAGACGGAGCTGTGCAGGAAGTGAGATTTTATCTTGGTGAACGTAAAATTCACGATGTTTTTCAAATGTGGAGCCCAATTTTGATCTTCTGTTTCTGTTAGTTCAGGGAATTTTGGTCAGACAGTGATAAAAGGTTTGGGTAGTTTGACAGCATGTCCATGTACGTCTATCATGTCCATCTTTTTTCAGAGTCTGTGTACCTGCTCTTTAATCGTTTGCTGTTTTGGCTTTTTGGTGGTTGTTGATTCTGACGTTTCTGTGGATAACACGTGTCTATATTTAAATAACAGATCAGTGATACATCCTGTTAAACTAGATGTTCTTCCTCTCATCCCCAAAAGGTTCAACAATTCACAACTTTATAAATTCTGCTCTCAGCTTTGTCTCTAGTATCACTGAAATGCAGCCAGATGCTCATTTTATGTTTCCACTCGTTTCTTCACTTTTCACTTGTCTTTGCATGTGATTGGCTGCATGGTGCGCCCATCAACATAAAGCCCCGCCCCTGCCTGCATGGATTCTCAGCAGGGCTGGAGATTCAGCTCCTACATACCTAATTAATGACTGCCATTTGAAATTATCACAAAACAAAACAAGAGACGTACATATGTTACTTTTGAAAACAAAAGTCTGTGACTGTGGGTCAGCCGGATTGCTCGACACTCAAACACCCACCTGTTCCTCGGGTTTACTTCCTGAAAACCTCTGAAACGTCTGCTCATCTTTCCGGGTTTACAGAGCAGCACCAGCTATGGGAGCACAGAGAAAACCCAACACAGACCTCTAGCATGACCGGATTGGACTGCATGAACTGCGCTTCAGTAAAACAAAGAAAAGACAGGTGGCGTGAGCTGAGCCGTCACAAGTGCAGCTCAGTGACGTGATATTAGTGACACAGCCACAGACTTTGCTGAGACTCTCTTCTTTGATATCAGCTACCACACTAAACACTTCCTGCTGGATCTCTTTCAGATTAAAAGGTTATTTGAAATGAGGTGACTGCAATACTTTTAATGTGAAATTAAGAGAGGAAGTGCTGCGTTTTATTCTTTGCACTCTGACATCGTGCAAGAGCGGATGTGGTTTTTCCTGTAATAAATTAGTAAAATATTATTTTAAATGGGTAAAAAAATGTTAGTGCATATATGAAACAGTATCATCGTGTTACCATTTAGAAATGTACTCTTCAAATAAAAAAATACTGAATTTGTTCTCTTTGTGCCGGGTTCAGTTGAATGTTGGTTTAAATGTTTTACACATCACTGAAACTTCGTTAAATTTACATTTTGTTTCATACATTTATTATTTAGTGTACACCAAGTAGGAAAGGAGTTACATGTTTACATTACCCACTAATGTAAACTGTTTCCAGATCTCTTCTCTCTTTTCAAAAAAGAAGCCCTAGTTTTGGTTCCTTTTCTTCTTGTTTGCATGTTTATTTCAGGACTTTTACAATACATTTTAAAAGTTGCCAAGTCATTTTTTTTTCAAACCTGATAGTTCTGACCTGATAAGGTGCTGTATTTCATTTAAGATTAAGCAGAAAATGTCAGGATAGGCTTTTATTTGTAGGCCTTGTTTTTGATATCAAAATCTGACAGTGACATCAAAAGCACTGTGGTGATTTGCTGCCACCTGCTGCCTGCTTCCTGTCACTGCTCAGGTTGTCCATCCCCCAGAGGAAACTGTGGAGCTACATCAGAAAACTAACTGTGTGATATGACCGTGATCCATGATGAGCCTTGGGTGGGGTGGCTCAGTAGTGAATATGGGGATTGTTGAGTGAAGACAAAGTCCTTCAGCCAGGTCAAGTCAGCATACTGGGGCAAACTGCAGATCCTTTTCCTGAATTCCTTCTACCTCTCGGAAAAAGGAAAAATCCACGGAGCTGATTCTGAAACTCCTCAAAATTTACAAAACAAAATCTGCTGGGTCCACTCTAGTCGGAGTCTGCTGTCCGGATCATGGATTCGGATCATCTGGATCATCAACAAAACACCAAAACATAACAAATAACCTAAACTGGGAAATAAAATAAAAAAGACACGTGACATGTGTAACAGGAAATAAGTGCTGGTTAGCGGTGTGGCCATCATTTCCTGATCTACACCAAGAGCACAAAACAACTGAAGCAGCTTTTCCTGCTCACTGAAACCTCCAGAAACACAGGTGAGTCCTGCTGGTTAATCATCCCTGAATCTTTTGTGCTTCTACTGAATTTATGCTTGACTTCAAAGATGACTTAACATTTCCTGACCTGGGGACCAGAAACACTTAAAATCAACTGCACACAGCTGCCTCAGCACCACTGCTGCCTCTATCAGGATGCATGTGTAATGACACCATTACAAATTTCTCACTGACTAAGGCTTAGGTGCGTCCTGGTGCCACGTGGTGTAATAGTCATCCTTACACTTATATATGTGGTTCATAATGAACAGTCTGTCATTAGCCCATCATTACATTCAGTGCTGTGTGTTCAGTAATCCAATATTCAGTCATTCTTCTGCTGCACAAAAGCGTTTCCTTCAAAAAATACATGTACGGTTATGCGAGCAGTGAACCTCAAAGCTCTGCTCATCTGTGCTGAGCAAAGTTGTAGAAAACGGTTTAACAGTTGAACCAATTTAATGCTGTTGTTACAGCCACACTGCAAAATGAGCTGTGGGAGTGTGGGGGGCAGGTGTAAAAGGCATGCAGTGCTTATTTATCACATGTTTCAACAACGATCAAGAAAAAACAGAGGTGGGGGAGGAGGACCAGGCGGCTGAGCCAAATTAGAAAACTCAATAATAAAACAAAACTGGTCTACAGCTTCTTGAAAGGTCATGTCTATCTACAACAAGTTCAGTCAAAACCATACAGATGTAGCATCAACCGCATAGGGTAGTGTTTCTAACATGTGTCTGTCTATGTGCTTTATATGTATAGAGTACCCTAGAATTAACCTACACACCTGCCCACAATAAAGACGCTACTAATACATAGAAAACAGGAGCTGCCCCCTTTGTAATGATCCCTGGTGAGTGATTGGTCGCCTTTGTCCAGATCAGCCAACACGCATGTACCAGTCAATTTTGAAAGGTCTAGCAGGTGGAGGCTCGAGGCGCTAAACCTGGAAGACAAGAGAGTGACAGAACAACCAGTTGAATATAAAACTGGGTTCTGAAAACTAAGAAGGAGCTCCTGATGAGATTCATATCAACAAATTTAATCCTCATGGCATGCTGTCTAAAGCTACGTGCAGGATCTGAGAAAACAGTGAAATATTTAGCACTGTGCTGTTCTTAAAGAAGACATGAAACGCTGCACATTTAAAGAGTAATTTAATCCATTGAGCCCTGCTCTTTATAAACTGACACAAAGTTTATGTTTAGTCTGAAAACATGTTTAGCACCATCTTCTGTTGGTACAGAACATCATGTGGTTGGTTGGTTGTAGCTGATAGACTTACATTAGTTTATGTTAGCTAACTAGTGACCGAATCAATTACTCAGAGGAAAATAAGGAAACTAAAACTAACAATCAGTTTACAGGGATCACTTTAACGTTGAAACAGTGAGTTTGATGTTCAGAAATATTCAGAAGATATAGTGTCCACTTTCATTGCCCGTCTCTTTAGCAGTAAGTAGCAGAAACATTCAGCCATAACTGAATAACTGACCAGAAGATGACATTTATCAAACTTTCTGAGGGATTTAGGGGATCTCAACATTATATTTAAAATTAGTTTGACTTTTGATTTACCTAAAATAATATGAAGGCGTATCCTATCAAAGAGAGATCTTAATGAAGGGGATTTATTTTTCAGCTCCAGAAACATGAATGAACCAATAAATGTGACAGATGGCCAGACCTGTGATTATGTCAACACATCAGTCAACTCTTTCTTTATTCTGGTCTACAGTCTGGTCTTTCTGGTGAGTTTTAAGTCTTCAGATTGTGCTCTGATGGAAACGAGGTTCTCTGTGCATCTACCAAAGTCCCGTCGTCCTCTCTGTGTCTCTACAGGTGGGTTTACCCCTCAATGGCTTCATCATGAAGTTTTACTTTTGTGGAGTTCGGCAGCAGGCATCAAGCAGCTTGATGGTCTACATGAAGAACCTGACAGCTGCTGACTTCCTGCTCTGCCTCTCTCTGCCACTGCGCATCAGCCACTATGCTAGCAGCTCTCTCACCATTCAGCAGCTCTACTGCAGCTTTGGGGCTTCTGCTTTCTTCCTCAACATGTATGCCAGCATCATATTTATGGGGTCCATTGCTGCTGACAGGTAAGGAAGCTAGTAAAACCAGAATAATGTGTTAGTTATGAACCCTGTGCTCCAGATCAAAGTTTAGAAATCTCCTTTGGACTTAATAATTAATTGACCGGCCCACCAGGTATTAAAGCCATAAAGCCTTTGAATGAAAACAAACCCTGTTGTGACAGTGATGTACGCTGTCTTGTTGGTATATGTATGATTTCTATACATTTTACATCACATAGTTGTAACATTCAGATAATCATTTAATAATAGCTAGACATTTTAAATGAGAATAAGAAAGTATTTCTTTGTGCCCCCCTTTCCCTGTTAATGCCCTACCTGCCCCCCTGGCAAAACTTTCCTAGACCCGCCCCTGCACAGTTACCAGCTGTCAGCTACATAAAAAAAGGATCCTGGTGTTATTTGTCTCTCAGAAACAGTTCATAACTTCCCTTCAACTCATTCATGTCACCTAAAAGGTAAACCTGTTTCTCCATCACCTGTTCAGCTCTGATGATTCAGTAAGGACATCTCCTGGTTTCATCTTCATGTTTCCCTCTCACCACATAACCAAACCATATCATGACCAGCAGCTTTACAGCTGTGGCTCCAGCAAACATCAGCTGATACTAGAAATTAATATTAAATAAATTCTAACAACAGCTGATCAAGCTTAAACGTGCTGCTGTTGTTTAGCGCGACCTCCGCCTGTTTCCCCGTTCTGGCGCAAAGTGCGCAAAACAAAAAATAGAGACGGGACCTGCGACAGAAAAGCCGATCAGCTGATCATTGATCAGTTTCATGATTGAAGTGGGAGAGGGAGGGGGAGAGAGTGAGAGTAGAAAAGGCAGCTGTGCAGCATAAAGACACAGAATAACTCCAGCTTTGTGTCTTTTTCATTGTAGCTGAAGTACGGGACAAACTTTGTTCCTTTTCAGCTCAAGACGAAACGCGCCTGATCTCTGCTCCTCCTGGCTTCCCTTTTGCTCACCACCTGCTGGCCTCTGTGGGAGCTCTGCCATAGCCACCACCAAACATCAGAGTTATTTTTACACATCGACCTGCATCTGGCCAATCCACCACCTTTCATTTTTTATACCGTTACAAAAACAACAACAACAACAAAAAGAAAAAAAGATTGGCCCATAATAAGCTATGTTGGCACCTCTGTAACAGCTTAATTAAGTTGTCTCCTGCCTCCTGTCTCTTCTCGCTAGGTATCTGAAAATTGTTCATACTTCACAAATGCACATGCTGCAGACAGTACAAGCAGCAAACATCATCTCCATGGTCACCTGGGTTTTTCTTCTGGTTCCTGCCATCACCTACACCATCCTGTTCACCCAAGAACCTCTGAGTTCTACCCTGAGCCGCTGTGGTTCCCTCTTTAGTGCATCACTCAGCCTGGTCTTCAAAATAATTCACATCAGTTGCACTATCATCTTTCTCGTGGTCTTCATATCTTTGGTCTTCTTCTACTACAGCACCTCCCGCAGGGTGTTGAAGGCACAGCAGAGGCAGCTGGCCTCCTCTGAGAAGCTGGTGAAGTCTCGCAGGAACATGTTGGTGCTGGTCAGCATCTTCGGTGTTTGCTTTGTCCCCTATCACCTGGTTCGACTTCCCGACACTTTTCTTTTGAACAGCTGCTCTGTGGGGCCAGTGTTGTTCTACCTGAAGGAGGCGGCCACCATTGTGTCAGTTTTCAATGTCTGCCTGGACCCTGTTGTTTACTTTTTCCTCAGTAAGACTCTTTCGGGCTCAAGTGAGAAAGGCGTCCAGGAGAGCCAACATTCAACAAACGAACAAGCAACAGGTCAAATTGGTGAGCTGTGAGGAAAACAATGCACTTTATTAAATGTGTGAAATGTGAGCTTTGTCTAAGATTCTGCTTTAATAGTTACACATGTCTGGATGACTGCATCACTTTTTAGCACTTTTTATTTTTGATAACAAAAAAATTAAATATAGCTAATATCTTCATTTCTTTTCCTCATAAAAAATCCAGCATTCACAACCATTTCTTGCTTTACTGACATCATATTTCTCCATTTTGTTAATAAGAAATAAGAAATTTATAAATAAGGATAAAATGAGAGTTGATGTGTTCACATGTTAAACTGGTGCTTTACGCAGTCTGGGAGCTGCTCCAGACTCCTTCACCTTGCCTCAGAAAGGCTTGTATCAACATTTTATGCACTATCAGTGCCCGAGGTTAGAACAGGTATTAAAGAATTCTGGTTGTTTTGATTTTCATTGTCTGAGCAACTGAAACCAAAGCTGCTCTCCATCCATCCATTCGCTTCCGCTAATACTTTTCAGGGTCACGCTGCTGGAGCCTATCCCAGCTGTCATAGGGCGAGAGGCGGGGTACAGCCTGGACAGGTCGCCAGTCTGTCGCAGGGCTAACACACATCATTTTATTGGAGCTCAAACTCTCAGTCATGCCTCCATGCTGGTTGGGAACTGCAGAAACCCTTGCATTTGAACCCTTAAATGGCATTCATTACTTAATGACTTAATCAAGTGTTTGGAACTCTCACTCAGTGTTGGCTCTCTCTGTGGTATCGTATCACTTCCTGTTCATGCTACAGTGCACTGTGCTGTTTTGTGTAGCTTTTGTGTGTACTTGTTTAATTAAAAACACTTTCAATTGAAATTAACTGCCCTTTATATTCACAGTATTTTTGTCTTTTATTTTAGTCTTTCGACATTTGCTAGCTTAGCTTAGTAATAAATTTATTTGTATTAAATGCAGCGTATTTGCAGCTCTGGAGGCCAGGATCACTGAATTGGCTCAGAAACCTGGAAAATCCTGTAGGTAGCTTGCTACAGGCTACCACCATTAGCTTTCTCCCAGCAGAAACCAGGCTGGCTGGGTGATAGTGAGGAGGAGCTGAGTCCTAATTGGAAGTCCCCGATTCACTTCACCATGTTCATGTGTCTAATGATTTTTCCCCACTCTGCGACACACCAACTAAGGAACAACAACTGTGATTCTATTTTAAGAA